AAGCATCGCAGAGGACCTGGGTTCAGTTCCCGGCGCTCCTGTAGTGGTTTACAACCATCTGTAACCCCAATCCCAGGAAATCCAATGCCTTCTTGTGGTCTTTGTAGGCACCAGGCATACATGTGGTACGCAGAAATGCCTGTATGCAAAACACTCATCCGTATTAAATAAAAAAATCAATGGGGTGCTGAAAGAGCAGACATGATTAAGGTGCTGTTCACAGGATGAACTTCATTACAGTTGAGAACAGAGGAATGAGGGAGTCTGTCCCGCTGGAGTCATGGTAGGAGAGGGGTAAAGAGAGAAAATAACAACAGAGACGTTTGTGCAGGTGTGAACAGAAATGGAACCAAGGCCCTAATTCTTGATTGCTGTCCTTGGTACTGAAACAATAACCCTGCTCCACAAATGATTCTCACCTTTCCAGATAAATCAGTAACTCCTGCATAAGGCGCATGATTTCAATATTAAAACACCTTACTAAAGACATTGTAGCCTTTTACTATCTCAGAAACAAAAGTCATATTTTACTTAATCAATTTTGTAGAAGTTTTATTTTTACATTTTTTATTAATGTGTGCATGTGGGTGGTGTCTGTCTGCACAGTGTGTGAGAGTGAAAACAACCTATGGGAATTAATTCTCTCTCTTGTGGTTTTCAGGGATGTCTATGTCCTGTGGAAGTATGTTTAATTTTTGTGCAACAGTTACAAGTCCACAGACTGTCTTTCTTAGTTATTAAAGTGTTTGAACATTAAAAAATGTATAGCATATAAGTAAGCACTCTTACTTCCAGGTTTGTTTATGGTAATCAGATACGTACATCTACCTGGAAACAGACTCTTGTTCATAGCAGCATTACTCAATAGTTGGAACAAACCAAATGTCTTTCAACTGATCAATTGTAAACAAAATGAGATTCACACATACAGGGGAACACTATCTGGCATTAAAAGAGATTAAGTACTGGTTAATGCTACATACAATATGAGGGAAGCTTTAAAACATATTAAGCAGCTGACAGTAATTTATGATCTCACCCATGTGGTGGTTTAAAAGAAAATGGCCCCCATAGGGTCACAGGGAGTGGCACAATTATGAGGTATGACTTTGCTGGAGTGGGCGTGACTTTGTTGGAGGAAGCGTGTCACTGGGCATGGGCTTTGAGATCTCAGATGCTCTAGCCAAACTAGTGGCTCACACTCTCTTCCTGCTGCCTGCAGATCAGGATGTAGAACTCTCAGCTTTTTCTCCAGCACCATGTCCGCCTGTGTGTCACCATGCTTCCCACCATGGTGATTCTAGACTGAAGCTCTGAACTGTAAGCCAACCCCAATTAAATGTTTCCCTTTATAAGAGTTCCTGTGGTCAGTGTGTCTCTTCACAGCAATAGGACCCTAAGACAACCCCTGTGAAATATTCAGAATAGGAAAATCTACAAAGACATAAAGTGTCTTAGTGGTTGTCCCAGATGGTGGAAGGAATGAGGAGACACTTTGTGATGGCTATTCTTGGTGAGCAACTCGACTACATCTGGAATTAAACCCCCAAATGGAGGGCACGCCCAAGAGATATTTTTCCTTTGAAGTAGGAGAATCCACTTTTAATCTGGATTTTTGAGTTGGAAAGATCCACTTCTAAACTAGATTAGAGCCACACCTTTAATTCAGATCTTTTTGAGGTGTGAACAGACATCTCTAATACGGGCCACACCTTCTTCTGGAAGCCTATCTAAGGGCGTGGAAGAAGGAAGCTTTTGTTCTCCTGCTTTCTTTTGCCTTGCCAGCAGATCCTTCACTGACATTAGAACCTACATCTAAGCTAAGACATCCAGCTCATGGACTGAACAACTCTTGGATTCTCAGGCCTCCCATACATAGGCAGCCATTGTTGGATGAGGTGGCCCACATCTGTGACTCATTCTAATAAATCCCCTTCTCTATATATAGAGATACAGTCTGTAAGTTCTGTTACCCTAGAGAACCCTAACTACACACTCTTGTAATGAGAAGGGGCTTCCTGCTGGCATGCTGGAAATGTTCTCAAACTAATGGAGGTGGTTTTGTAGCTTAGTGAATGTGCTAGAAACTACTGATTCTAATGCTTATAAAAATAAAATGTGGCTTTCTTCAAAATAAGCACAACAGTCACGTGTTTCTTACCAGAATATATTTTAGGTTACCGATTAGATTTGGAATGCAGTGACTTGGTTCGCAGCTTATAGTGTCATCAGGAAGGAATGGAACCTCTAAGACAGTGGTTGTCAGCCTTTGGGTCAAGACCACATGGGTGGGGGCTGTGTCTTAGGGTTTACTATTGCTGTGAAGAGACACCATGACTGTAACGCCCGTGCCTACGTTTACTCTTGGTACAGTTCGCGCACCACTGTACCATACACCATCCGGGCAAGGGCCTGGAGATCGAAAGAACACACAAGAGACCTGGGTCATTCAAAAGGAGGTCAGCCGAATTTTATTCAAATTTAGGTAAAACCTTAAATCCCTAGCTGCTGCACAATGGAATACCCCCCAGGCAGGTGGGAAATTACCACGCCCAAGGTAGTGCAAACACAATGGCCTATAGCTAATCATCGGGGGGAAGAGGGGTCACAGGAACAAACAGGATGTTTTAGCTGGCTGTCCAGAAACTGTCCTCAAGATGAACCCCAGGAGCAGGGGTAGACCCATGGGCCCTACACACGACCACAACGACTCTTAGTAGAGAAGACATTTAATTGAGGTGACAGATTACGTTTCAAGGGGTTCAGTCTGTTGCCATCATGACTGGGAGCATAGCAGTATACAGACAGACATGGTGCTGGCTACATCTTGACCGGAAGGGAACAGGAAGTCAACTGACTGCCATCTGAATGAAGCCTCAAGCCCTACCCCCACAGTGACACACTTCCTCCTACAAGGTCACACCTTCTAATAGTGCCACTCTTGTTGGAGACCATTTTCTTTTAAACCACTACAGGGTGTCAAACGACCCATTCACCGGGGTCACCTAAAACCATCGGAAAACACGGATATTCATATTACAATTCATAGCAGTAGCAAAATTACCGTTATGAAGTAGCAATGAAAATAATTTTATGGTTGGGGATCACCTCAACATGAGGGACTATATCAAAGGGTTGGGGACATTGAAAACCACTGCTCTAGGAGATAGGGTCTAGGGGTCATAGTGGTGCAGGGTGCCCTCGATTAACCTTGTGGGACCCTCGTCTTTTCCTTTCTCACATTCTGTCCATAAAACGAACAGTTATCTACCCATGTTCCCCACCATGGTACACTGCCATGTTATAGCCCCAGATCAACAGAGACAACCGATCACACACTGGGAATTTCAAAACCACAAGCCAAATAAACCTCTTTTGTTTATAAGTTGAGTTTCTTGTGTATTTGGTACAGTAAGAAAACACCAGTGAGCACACACTGCTAGTGAGCCTTTGGGAAATACAGCATGCCATCCGAAGAACATGCTAGACTAATGTGTAGGGCTATGTTAGTTATTTTCCTATCTTTGTAACTACAATAACTGGCAGAAACAATGGATAAAAGCTTTATTTTGGCTCAAGGTTTCAGAGCATTTCATTCTGTAGCTTCTTGGGCTATGCACTTGGCAGGACATCACAGAGGAACAGGGTAACTGTGTCCCCATGGACCAGGAAGTAGGACATCACAGAAGCACGGGGCAACTGTATCTCCGTGGACCAGGAAGTAGGACATCACAGAAGCACAGGGCAGATATTTGTGTCCCCATGGACCAGGAAGCAGAGATCAAAGCCGAAAGTGGAGTCGGGTATCACTTTCAAAGGCCCACCCTGCTAACCTACTTCTTCCAGCTAGACTCCACCTCCTAAAGGATCTGTAGTCCTCCAGAATATTGCCCTCAGCCGGAAAACAGGTGTTCAAAACCTTGAACCGTGGTGGGGGGGGCATTTTAGATTCAAAATGTGGTAAGAACCATCACCAGCATGTAAACCCATTATCTTCATCTGCTTTTGGGTCTTGAATGGTCCTGCTTTTGGGTCTTGAATGGTCCCACCAAAACTCTCATTAAAATGCAACCTTATTGTGAAGTCTGAAGATGGTGAAAATTGAACCCCACTGTAAGCAGGAAGTAGCTCACCTTTCCTCTCTAGGAAACTCCTGCTAGCACTGTTGCTTATTACTGCCTGTTCTTGCTGTTAACACACTGTTCCTATCTCGTTGTAACAGAAGACATTGTGAATAAAGATGGCTTCTAATGAGCCTGCCCCCGTTTCAGGTAGCAGAACTCAGACCATCCTGGGAGTTAGTGTTTAGCAGGAGTTGGTTTTTCATCCTTTCATTTCCTGACAGCCTAAGGTTTGGTTAAAGATGACAAGAAAAGGGGCTGGAGAGATGGCTCAGTGGTTAAGAGCACTGACTGCTCTTCCAGAGGTCCTGAGTTCAATTCCCAGCAACCACATGGTGGCTCACAACCACCTTTAATGAAATCTGGTGCCTTCTTCTGGCCTACAGGCAGGATACTGCATAAATAAATAAATAAATCTTTTTAAAAAAAGATGACAAGAAAAGGATTATTTTGTGTGTGTGTATGTGTGTGTGTGTATTTGTATGAGTGCAAGTATGCATGTACGCATGTGTATGCACAGATGTATGGATCCCAGCGTGCCACCCCACATATGCGGATCAGAGTACAGCTTATGGGAATTGGTTCTCTTCTTCCACCACCCCTTCGGTCCTGAGGATCGAATTCTGGTCATTAGCGTTAGGAGAAGGTTCCTTAAGCTGCTGAGCCATTTCTCAGCCCCCAGGGAAACACTCTTACTGGAAGGAGACCGTGAGGACACCTTGATTTACTGAGCTCCACAGAGCCTCGAGGAGAGGGGGGCAGAGGACACCAGCAGAAGCTGTTTGATGGTGAAGAGCTTGGTGACAAGGTCGGAAACAGAGTGAAGACCGAGGGTCTTCCTGCCAGGTCGTTACGGCCCACAGCATTTTGGCCCAGTCAAAACGGAAGAGAGTTGACTTTACTGAGTTGCTGGGAATTACCCAATTTAGATCATTTAAATCAGCGGTTCTTCACTAGAGGCAACCCCCCACCCTCAGGGACTATTTGACAATGTCTGGGAAATTTTGTTTATCACTACTGTGATAAACACTACTGGCATCTGGAATAGAGATCACAAGATTTAAGGTGTGGAACACCTTAAATGCACAGCATAGCTAGCTACCCCTGCCCTCCAGGATCTGTCCAGCTTCAGGTGTCATAGAGGAGAGTTCCGGAAACCTGGATTTAACCCAGTCACTTGTTAAATACACTCTTAAGTCAATTTGCCATGGGTTGAATTCCTAGTGTCCCTAAGACCTCTAGGTCTGACAAATAGTTCCTTCAGTTGGCATGAGATGTGATTATATATGGCCTTTTCTTCTAGGATGCTGTTATCAAATAATGGTGCACACGGCACAATGTCCACAGCTTCTCGAACCCTTAAAATGGTTCCTGCGTCTTCCTCAAAGCTGTTTTGCATCTCCTGAGACAGGGAACAACAACAATGAAATATATTAGCTTTGGTGAGCAAGCATTTCAGAGATAGGAAACCAGAGGCCCAGGAAGAATCATTGGCTTAGCCACCTCTGTTCAGCCTGTCAGGGACAGACCGAAGCCTTCAGGTCGGGTTCCTCGGTCACCAAGGCGCAGTCATACCCACACCGAGCGCAGTAAGAGGTGGTTATTGCTGGACTGTCTTTTGGGTCAGCTGTGCTTCCTTCAGATCACAGCCTTTGCCCTGGGTCCATATTTGTATTTCCTTGCACTGAACATTAGTAAGCGCGACTATACAAGGAAGATCTGTTTTAGTGGCCCTTGGGAGTAACAAGCACAGCAGAGAGTTTCCAGGGGCAATATGGCTGCCCTAACTCAATTGCATGAATTGTCCTGGATGTAGCTTTGCCATTATACTCTACTAATAATGGGATCAGTGCACAGCGACTTTCGTTTTATTGGATATTTTCTGATATTTGCCAAATCCAGCAACCATGACTGGCTTGGAACCAAGGAGAGCTGGAAAACTCATCCGTATCTTTAGGAGGCAGCTTCTGTCCACCCTCAAAAATGATTTCTAAGAGATATAGAGCCCCAACTGTAGTGATATTTTATTTGTATTTCAATAAATAAAGCTTGTCTGAAGATCAGAGTGTAAATCTAAGTCACTAGAGGCCAGGGAATGGTGACACACACCTTTAATCCCAGAGGCCACCGAGCTCTATGAGTTCAAGGCTACCCTGGGCTACACAAGATTGATCCAGAAACAGATCCAGGCGGCGATGGCTCACATCTTTAATCCCAGTGTTTGGGAGTCACACACCTTTAATGTCAGCATTACGGAGGTGAAGACAGGAGCGATGTGGCTGGGCAGAGAGAGGAATATAAAGGGGAAGAGTTAGGAACTCACTGGAGTGTGGAGTCTGAGGTTTGGTGGAGACACAGTGCAGTCTAGGCAGTCTGAGGATCACCCCTTCGGTCTGAGCATTGGCAGAGGTAAAAAGTAACCTACAGCCAGGAGATCAGACCATATTTCCTCTCTGGAGACAGACAGAAACAGGTATATCTGGTTGAGCCACGGATACCTGGCTCCTTCTTCCAAACTCTCCAAATGGCTTTTCACACGGGAGGATAACGAAAGTGAAAGTTGAAAGGTTGGCTTAGCTACTCCTGGGAGGAAATCCTCCCGTGTGGAAACATGAGCTAGACAGGAGTTAGTTCCTTCCTAAGTCAGCCAGATTTCATCCTTGTACCTTCAGGTTTGCTTTGCCACCTGACTCAGACCCTGGCTTCCAGTACCCCACAGTTCAGCAGAGGGACCGATGAAGTCAGTCAAGTCCATCGGCACACTACCAGCACTTCAAGGGACAGCTGTGCAGAGTCTGTCGCGTCCGTCCGTAGAGAATGCCACCAGCTGCAAGGCACATTTGCACAGTAGGGACTCTTCCTGCCCTCTTTTTCTCAGCGTCTGCTGAGGTCTCAAGACAATAAGCGGCCTGTTCTCCAGTTCGGAGGGGAAGGGATAAAACACCACGCCGGGCCTCCAAGCAGGAAGCAACAAGTTCGATTGTTTTCCGTGTCTGGAGTTGAGGGAGAGAAAAGGCATTAGGCTGAGATGATCGCAGAGGCCTAATGATGCAAAGACATGGATATTTTAATTACAGAGAACCCCCCCCCCGGGGGGGTTCCTTTTTAAATGAGAGGTAATTGGAGGATATCTTACTATCAGCAAAAGCACACTTCCAGGTTGAGTCTTCTCCTCTATCCCATGCACCTCACCAAGATTTCATCTGCTATTCCTTTAGCGGCATTTAATGGACAAAGGAAGAACATAGCTCAGTAACTGAGCTGCTTTTTCTGCACACATGATCTTGGGCATCCCTTAGGCATCCATGAACTCCCTATGCAGCCAAGAATGACCCTGAACCCTGATTCGCCTACTTCCACCTCCCAAATGCTGAGATTGGAGGTTCGCAGGACCACTCCGTACAATGCTGGAGATGGAGCCCAGAGGTTCGAACATTCTAGGTAAGCAAGCTGCCGAGTGAGCAGCGTCCTCGGTGGTCTTGGTGGTTGCACCTCATGAGTGTTTCATCATTGTCTTAGTTTCTGTTTCTGCGAAGAGACACCATGACCACAGCAGCTCTTATAAAGGAGAGGATACAGATTACAGCTCAGAGGTTTAGTCCATTGTCATCATGGCAGAAAGCATGGTGGCATGCAGGTAGGCATGGTGCTAGAGAGGTAGCTGACAGGTCTACATCTGGATCGGCAGGCAGCACGAAGAAAGAACGACACTGGGCCGTATTTGAGCATTCGAAACCTTAAAACTCACCCCCAGTGACACACTCCCTGCAATAAGGCCACAGAGACCCACACTTCAACAAGGCCTCGCCCCCTAAGAGTGCCACTCGCTGTGACCCTATGGGAGCCATTTTCATTCAAACCACCACACTCACATAGCAAAAAATGTTACTACAGTTACTTGGTTAAATCCCATCCCAGGTAGACCAGCTTGCAAGACAGTTGGGACATTTGGGACGTAGCTGGATCAAGGGTACAACCCTCCTTTCCAGGGTCCTCTCAATTCTGTCCCCTCATCTAATTTCTTCCTCACACTAGCAGTCTTCTTAGCGACAAGGTGGCTCCCCGTGACAGGTGCAACTGCGTGTGGCCCCCCACTTTGGAGGGGACAACACCACTTCTCACAACCAGTAACAAAAGTGCCGGGTCGAACACCTGTGCAGAAAGCCACGTGGCTAGGGAAATGAGGTGTGTGGGTTGAACGAGGCATTATTAATTAATCTCCTCCCAAAATGTCATTAAACTACCCAGGATCCTCATAGACACTAAAGAAAAGGTGAAACCGGCCACAGAAGTGACAGCTACTTAACAGCAGAGAAATTGCAGAGATACCAGTCACATAAGGAAACGTGTGTACCAAAGGCCCGGAAGGGCTAGCTGGAAGACATAGCCTTTTAGCCGAAGGCCCTAAGATGGAGGGAGAGCTGGTTGTGTAGGAGCTGAACAAGGGACACTGGGGCCTGACTGCTGGAGGTGTCCTTGAGAGAGTCCTGGGATACATGCAGCATGGTTACATTATAGAAACTTTGGGAGGGGGGAAGGGAGGAGAGATAAGACTTAGGTCTAAGAATTTAGATACAATATCAATAGAACCTGGCAGGAACCAGAAAATATAACATACTCAGAGTGGTTCAGTAAGGAGCGCTTCATCCAGGGGCCCTTTACAAAGAAAGGCACAGTCAGGATGAAGGGACTCCAAGCTGAGACAGATCTTGCACCATGGGACCCAGCCTCATCCGGAAGTTGCTGGGAAGGGAGCCGACACCAAAGACAGACATGGCAGTGCAGGTGGGTGTTGGTGAGAGCAGCTGGGGCATTTGATGGAGAAGCACTGGCTACCCTTATCAGCCTGGCTTAGAGAATAATAGTAATAATAATAATATCATATTATCTCATGACAATAATATCAAAGATGTCACGTCAGTATGGGTGACGTGTACAGGTTAGACTCAAGCTAAGAGGTGGAGGAAAAGGAAGGTCACAAATGAAGCCTTCACAGATCATCAGACTGGATTCCAGAACAAAGAAGAAAGAAATAGAACTAGATCTAAAAGGACAGGCAGAACTCAGCACAAAAGGAACGGCAAACCTTTGGAGAAACCCACAGAACAGCCGCACACATCTGGTGAGCGGTAATGTAGCCGAGGTTTGGAGCGCTATTGTCCCCTAGAGGGCGCTCCCGGACTTCACTCCTTAAGGAAGCGAACTGATTGCCACAGGCTCATGAAGGCGCCTTTGCCTAGGCGGAGGAGCTTGGAAGAGTAAAGGGATTGGATCTGGGACAGAGATATTTCCCCGTTTGCACTTAGATTCCCCACCCTGGGGTTGGTGTGTAATAAGCAGAGCTCGTATTAAGTGTCTTCTGTGTGCTGAGTGTTTGACTTCCACTAAGCCCAAGCCATTGAGTTAAGTACCAAAACAATTGTATTATAGAGATGAGAGCCTGCATTCAAACCACTCTCACACAGCGGCTCCCTGTACTGTTTGGTTCCCATACTGCTGGGTTAGTCAGCTGGGTCAGAGATTCCCGTTTCTTCAGGGGCTTAACAAAGTCAGGGCAGAGTCTGTAGGAAATACGTATCAAAAAAAAAAAAATGTACCAAGAACCCAGAACACTGCCTGGCAGATTGTTCATGCTGCAGAGGCGGGTGCCGCCTCTGACACACTGCCAGTCTTTGGAGCTCTTACAGCACGCCGGGAGACAGAGCACCCACATCAGAGACTTAGCAAAGAACAAGAGAACCCGAAAGGCTACCCACCAATACGTCAGCAAAGGCTGGGGCTCTAGGGGCAAGGAGGTTCTGGACGCTTCCCTTGGTTCAATTCAGTTTTTGAATTTGAGACCAAAGCCCTAATTCAAGAGTGACCAATTGATGGTGGGTACCTGACTCCACCTGTTAAGAGAGATTCTCAGACTGCAAGGACCGACTTAGAAAATGCTGGAAGAAACAAAGTGACGTCATCGACTATGGGTGGAGAAGGGGGGAACGTGGTTGTAGACCAGTTCTTTTACTTACAACAGCCCCTCGGCAGCAGCAGCTGGGCAGGACTCGAAGGTCCTGATAATAATAACTCCAGATTAAGGTAACAATTCCAGTTTGTTCAGGTCTGCCCCAGTCTTCACATAACAGATGGATCTTGGAAAATCCCTTAACTTTGGCGCCTATAAACCAGCTTCATAATGTTTTCCTCACTGATAAGGAAGAAAAATTAGTGAGATCGGAGCCGCAGAGATCATTGTTTTTATCTTAGCCAATTTCAGCATGTGAAAATATATCTTATCTGGGTCCGATGTCGTCTTCAGGCTTCCCCCTATTTCCCAGTAGCTGATGCCGCGCACGTCTCTCAGCTGTTTTCCCCGCCGATCTATTCAAGTATTGAAAGGAAACAGTTGGAACCCTTTAAGTGCTTAGCTGAAGCGTGCCTCATTTGGGGACAACTTACAGAGGCGTGGGCGTGGCGAACACAGAAGGAACACATACTGAGGACGCACTTAGGGGCAGGTCCTTAGAGGTCCTAAGAACTAAAGGTCCCCTGCAGGGACACTGGGAGCCAATGCTACTGCTGGTTTGGCCAGGGCTAGAATCACACACAAGAGAGGGCTCACTGGCTGGCAGCTGGAACCCTGCCTGCAGTGGCCAGGCAGGGATGACGGAAAGAGGAGGGCATCAAAATACCTGGCCTCGTTCTCCTCTGTGCTGGCCTCTTGCCAGGGTCTCCTTGCAGAGAATGAGGAAAAAAGCAAATGGGACCGTAGGCCTAATGGAGGTCAGTGTTCAGGCCACAGAGCTTGTCAGGAAAATGGCAGAGGGCTCGTCTAAGAAAAACAATCCCAGGGCATCCTGCTGTCACCCAGCTTCCATTCTGGTCTCTCGTTTCGTCTTAGGAACTCGGGTCCCAAGCACAAGGCAGACACCTTCATCATCTCCCATGCCTGAGGGCAGGTGGAGGTCTGTAAGATTCTTCCCTGGGACCTGAGCAGCTCTGTCAGCCGTTAGTAGGATGGAAGACAGCGAGAGAGGGGAAGAAACACCTAGAACGAAATAGTCCACGCCTGGGCCGGTGTAATCCGATAGCCATGGATTCTTTGCTCCTCACTATCAGTTCCATGCCTCAGGACCCTCAGCTGCCGCCTTGACGGGCTCTCTCACAGCATCCAGGAATCTCTGTCGTTTTGGTGGCTATCTGGTCGCAGTGAATATGCGGCATGCAGTGTCTAGTGTGTTCCAGGCATAGCGCCACTCCCATTTGATGGCAGTAATTCCCATTTCTCCTGATGAGCAAAGCCAAACACACTGGCCTCCTGTCCCATTGTCTGCCCTCGATCAAGGCCATGACTAGCCCGACACTTTCCTGGGGCAGTCTCAGGCTTCCTGGTGGAGGTCCTTCATGTGGAATAAAGACCTCAGACCCAAAAGGCAGGTGTTCTAAGAAGAAAATAGGATTCTCCGAGTGAAATATTAAGTGTGATGGTGAGAGAAAGAACGTCCATACCCATGGCTAGGCTTCCAGAGCTTAGAGTGGCCATTGATCTGACCACTTCAGAGGCCAGCACCCTGATGTCACTAAGTGTCACCCCTTAGCAGGCATAACAGGAGAATTCACTCTGCCGTTCTGTCATCTTTGCCCACATGACGTCAGAACAGTAAATTTCCACAGCATGAGTCTGATTCTACTCATGTCTAACTGTGAATGAGGTCCCGGACCACTAGCGACAGTGTGTGAGATGCCATGGGGTGAAGAAGTCAACCAGGCGTGTAGATGAGGATGCTGGCAGGAGTGTGGACAAGAAAGGGAAGCTGCTCTTCGGAATGTGCAATTATTCCCATGGAGACAGAGTACTGTCCTCTCTATGATAAGGCAGTCTAATATAATTAGCCCGGATGACGGCTGCCCCCAGGAAATTGTGTCAGCTGAGGTGAGAGGAACTCTACCCAGCTCTTAACCCCTATTATTGTCTCTATTTTGATCCCCACATTCACTTTCTTCATGGGCATAAACGTAGCTAGTGTCTCAGTGTTTCCAGACAAATGCAACGAAATGCCACGGGCTAGGTGGCTTATCGGCACAGAGATTTAGTTGTCTCAATACAGGAGGGCAGGGGATTCTGAGACCAAAAAGATTCTGTATTTCCTTGTTCATACATAATACCTTCCGTGTTCTGTGATGAAAGGGCCTCCTCTACCATGCTACTAATCCTATCTGCGAGGGCAATGCCTTGATGAACTGACCATTTCTGTGGTTGTTTGAAGAAAAAACGGTCCCCATAGGCCCACAGACAATGGCACTATTAGGAGGTGTGGCCTTGCTGGAGGAAGTGTGTCACTGGGGGTGGGCTTTGAGGTCTCAGATGCTCAAGCCAGGCCCAGTGTCACTTTCTCTTCCTGCTGCCTGCCCATCCAGATGTACAACTTTCAGCTTCTTCTCCAGGACCATGTCTGCCTGCGTGCCGCCATGCTTATCTCTATAGAGATAGTGGTCTAAACCTCTGAAACTGTAACCTGGCCCCAATTAAATGTTTTCCTTTCTAAGAGTGGCTGTGGTCATGGTGTCTCTTCACAGCAATAGAAACCCTAACTAAGACATTTTGCAATAGCTTCACCTTTAATGTTATTATACTGGGGATTATGTTTAAACACAAAAGTCTTTTTTTTAAAAAAAAAAATTATTACCTGGAGACTTTATTAGATGTTGGATGCTTCTTTTTTTTCCTTTTAAAAAAACTTTTAAAATTTATTTTGTATACCAGCCACAGTTCTCCCTCCATCCCTTCTTCCCTTACTCCCCAATCCTCACCCCTTATTTACTCCTCAGAGAGGGTATGGCCTTCCATGAGGAGTCAAAAAAGTTTGGCATATCAAGTTGAGGCAGGACCAGGCCCTTCCCCTCCACATCAAGACTGAGCAAGGAATCCCATCATAAGGAATGGGCTCCAAAAAAGCCAGTTCATGCACCAGGGCTAAATCCTGGTCCCACTGTCAGGGGCCCCACAAACTGACCAAGTCACACAACCGTCACCCACACGCAGAGGGCCCAGTTCTGTCTCATGCAGGCTCCCCAGCTGTAAGAGTTCGTGAACTTCCACTAGCTGGGGTCAGCTGTCTTTGTGGGTTTCCTCATCAGGACCTCGACCCTCCTCAGCATAAGACTCTTGAGGGACTAGAACCGCTCTGAATATAGAAGCCAGGAGAGAGACTCACTGCCATCAAGCAAGAGACCATCATGGCTGCCTCCTTCTGTAGTATGTATGTCCTCTGAGAGACCAGCATGAGACTCAAACAGCCTCTTACACAGTCATCATATACTCCGCTCTCTGATGACCTTGACAGCAATCTCCCAAGCCTGAGATAAATCGGCCAACTCATTAACCAGTCTCTATAAATGCTCCTGTCTATCTCAGGAAACCACAAGTTATCTCTTACCTCATATGGCCCACCATTTGTACATCCCCAACTCCTGTCCATGATGAGATTCCCCTCTGACTTTCAGGACCAACCCAGAGAGACACCTTTTGAAATCTGGCAGTGTCCCCTTCTTCCTCATCAAATGATCATAGGAAATTCCCCATGACATCAGAGTCATGGTTGGAGGGAAAGTCAGGAAGCAGCAAGAAGCCTGAGTCATCTGCTTATGCAGAGAGGCGCTGAAAATAGGGCTGGAGAGGTGAGGGGAGGCGGAAGAGCTCACCCACACATGTGCAGTTCTGTACCCTTAAGTTAGCGTGGAACGGTTCCTTAGGAAGCTCCTTTTAACTGTGAGAAAAATCCTGATAAAGACTTCAGCATTAGATGCCAACAAGGCAATGAGAGATTATCTTAGCTTATCTTGACATATTTCAGATAAATAGTGTATCTTACAGTCTTTCTTAAATGAACCAGAGGTGAAAAGGTAGATATATCTAAAATCTTGATTAGCTGATTTTTTTTTTTTGGCCAGGAAGTCTAAAAAATATTTTGTGTGTGTGTGTGTGTGTGTGTGTGTGTGTGTGTGTGTGTGTGTGTGTGTGTGCTCACTCGTGTGTGATTACACATACATATATGCAGGTATATATGCATACAAGGTCAACCCTGGATGTCATTTCTCAGTAATAGCTGCCTTTTTTTTTTTCCAGACAGGATCTGTCGCTGGTCTAGAGCTCACCCATTAGGGTAGGTTGGCTACCTAGCAAGAGACTCCTGTCTTTGCCTTTCCCCACCTTCACCCCCACCCCTGACCTGGGATTACAACCACACATCAGCATGCCTGTATTTTTATGTGTGTGCCTGGTCTAGCACTTGGCTCCTCATGCTCGTGTAGTGATGTGGGATTCCCCTCTGTATGCTATCAATATATTTTTATGACCACTGGTTAATAAAGGAGCTGCTTCGGCCTATGGCAGGGCAGAATATAGGTAGGTGGGAAAACTAAACTGAATGCAGGGAGAATGACGGTGGAGTCAGGCAGACTCCATGTAGCCGCCCAAGAAGCAAGAGGTAACAAACCATGAGCTTCATGGTAAAATATAAAATAATAGAAAAGGGTTAATTTAAGATGTAAGAGCTAGTTAAGAATATACCTGGGTCATCAGCCAAGCAGTATTGTAATTAATATAGTTTTTGTGTTCAGGGCAGCCTGAAAACTAAAGCAGAGTCTCTGTTTACAGTGTAGTAAGTCTCCATTTACTAACTAGGCCTTCTCCCCCAGACCCCAGGAAGCCTGCCTTCCTGAAAAATTCCTTTGGCTTTACAACAAATTCCATGGGAGATGGAGAGGTGACTTAGTGATCCAGAGCACTTTCTGCTTTTCCAGAGGACTGAGTGTGGTTCTCAGCACCCATATCAGGCAACTCACAGCCATGTGTAAATCAGTTCCAGAGGATCCAATTTTCTCTTCTGGCCTCATCAGACATGTGCACATGTATGGGGCATGTGCGTACACACGCACGCGAATAATAAATCTTTATAAAAATTACAAGTTCCTTGGAGCTGGAGAGGCAGTTTTCAGTTAAGAACATTTGTTGCTATTGCAGAGGAGCTGGATTCAGTTCATTTGGCTCGCAATGGCGCAATGGTCTGTAGCCCCACCAGTTCAAGGAAGCCCAGCATCCTCTCTGGTCTCTGCAGACACTACCTACAAGGTACACACACACGTTTGTTGTTAACTTCAACACAGTGACTGTGCTGCTCTTTCAGCCAACAGTTGCATCTTCACAGTTACAGGTTTGCTTCCCTAGCAGTGGCCTGGCCACCCAGGTTACAGCATGGTGGGAATTCTGCTCTGACAGGCACCAGCCCTGTTGCTGCTGCTAAAGGTAGCTTTGACCAAATCTCTATCATTCTGTGAATCAGACTAGAGATACAAATGTTGGGGTGAAAACCTGCGAACTCAGAGAGGCTGAGGAGCAGCTAGCTAGCCCTCTCTCTTTGCTGGCCCCCATTGAAGTCAGTATGTGCGTGCAGGTGTAAACTTCACATTGATAGGAGTCGAGATTATATTTCTTTGACTTAGAAGAAGTCCAATAAAGTAGAACAAAGAAGAGAGTGTATGAAAAAAGGGAAGAGAACCAAAGACCGAGGCCTGCAGAGCTGTAAGAAGAGCACCCAGC